GAGTGTTAATGAAGGCAACATAATTAGTGCCATGCTGAATGTGGCTGAAAGTAAAAGTAAAAGGAGTGTGATGATTTTGTTTTTGACATGTTTGACGAATTGGTGATGCATTTTATTCTGAAAGGACCTCAGATAGATTACATTTAAGAAAATTATATGGGTTTTCCAGAAGCAAAAGCATAGCAGGATCAATCTCATAGGATAATGCCACAATGAACACATGAACAGTCAGTTTGAAATTTTGCTTCAATATTTACCCCTAATGCAGCAGGTATCAGCTGTGGTCTCCCCACCTATCTCTCAGAGCTCTGACTAAAACCATCAGACTTGAGCTCTCGGCCTGCTAAACCCAGCTTCAGATTAGGGTCTGATTGTCCGCAGTGGAGCAGATACAGGGGGATTTTCTGTAGTAAAGACAGATGTTTTAGAGGAAGTGAAGGGATTCTGGCTTCACAGAGGAGCTTTAGCTTTGTCATCGCTGTTAAGATTTGGTCCTATGAGCCAATTTCTTTAATTGGAATCTGGGTAAAGGCGGCCGCACCCTGTGTCAATATTACCTATATACAACTTTGAGACTGTCTTGAATCTGTGGGGAGTATCACAGGTGGATAGTAAGGGCAGGTTTTGACTGTGACACTTACTGGTTATGCAGGAATCCAATTAGGACACATTTCTAAGCACTTTAGAAGGACTAAAAGGACAGAATTCAACTACTGACATAAAAATGTATCAAACTGTAGACATGGAAGTAAATGTTCAATGAGTTGTAAAAATGCCCTGTGCATGTGTCAGACAATTTACTTATTGAGGGGTTCTGTCTAAAAGTTGCAACATGGAACTGGACGTTTCTGTCCAATAAATCTTAAAAATGTGTATCTACTGTTCCTGGTGAGCAAAAATTTAACACTAAATAATTATAAAACAAAATTCAAACATTTTTTATTTGCATTTAAAAACAGCATATCCCATCAGTCCCAGGATTCACTGTAAAAAACCTCTCGGGAGCTTTAGAGGCTGAGATGTAAAGAAAGAGTAGTCCAAATGGCATTCAGCTATTAATAATAATAAACTAAAATGCTACTGAGGCTGGCAGAGCAGAGGTAAGTCAGGTGTTTCTGCACACCTGTAAATACATGAAAGTTTTCTGGGATCAGATAGATATGGGCATTTTTATCTTTAACATGTATGTAGTGACAAAACATAAAGGTCAACCCCACCACCAAAAATAAAATCCCAAAATTGGAAACTGCTATCACTCTCCAATTGTTTGACAGTTAAACTCTGGTTCTTAACAGTTCCAGTTATTTCTCATAAAATAAATAAAATATGATCATTCATGTTTTTAAGCAGTAACAAACTTATATTTTCAATTATGATCGGATTGGAAACGTAGCATTTTGTTTGCCAGTTTTTCACCTATATGTCCATTAAATTATATATATGTGCATATATTTGTAAATGTGAATATGCTCTCTTCATCTACTTCTCTGAGCTTGCACTCAGTAGAGGCTGCTCAAAAATTCTTTAAAGTGCTTAATAAACCTCATACTCCAAATGAAGAAAAAAACAGAACTCCATCTTTCCACTTTAATATCACACTATTTATAATTTCTTCAATAATATGCATTTGTGTGTGTAAGCAGGTGGTGAAAATATGAATTGTTTTTAATTGAGAGAGGATCATGGTTCATTCTACTTCTGCAGCAGTTATAGTTAACTCACGTGAACGTTCCTCCATGCAGGTGAAAGCCTGTCAGTATTACTTAGCTCTTCCAGGAAACTTAGAACCTCCCTGTATGATCTCTAGTGCAATCCTACAGTGTGAGATTTTTTTCCTCCAACAACCTCTTGTTCTCTCTCTCCTTTTCTTTCTCAGTCTCTCGCCTTCTCTGTTACTCTCTCCAGTTTTTCCTCTCTTTTTTTCAACACATAGGTGGATTAAGGCAGAGGGGCTTTTGTTTAGATAAAGCGAAGGATTAGAGAGAGATTTGCCCCCATAAAGTTGTGGGCTTAATGGGCCTTTTATCCCTGCATGTCCCTAAAGCTGTGTTGCCTCTGGATTAGGACTATACAATGGGGCCCCTTGTGCAGAGGGATCCGGGCCAAAGGGAGAGAGGGAGAGAGAGAGAGAGAGAGAGAGAGAGAGAGAGAGAGAGAGAGAGAGAGGTAAAAGAAATGAGACCGAAGGACTGAGACAAGGGAGAAAAAGAGGGCAAGAAGAAAGAGAGAAGGGGATGGATGGAGAGGAAAAGAGGGGGAATTATACAGCTTTTAGAGGAAACTGACAGGTTGAAAACTTTTAGAGGAGGGATTTGCAAAGGAGATCCTGAGATCTTGTCACCAATAAAAGGGATTTCAGGAGGATTCAGAGGCGTGGTGCTGACAATAAACGCAAAATTATCGCTGTCTTTTTCAATTCATTTATCTTACTCTTAAAAAAGAAAGAAGAATAAACAGAAAAGCAGGTCTTACTGTGGAAGTGCTGCTAATAATGTGTCTAAAAGGTAGCTCCTGGAAAATTGCTTTGTTATTCTTGTCAAAAAGGTCTTCTGCAAGAAGTCGATTTTAAACTACACATCAAAATGATTAATTGCTGTGGGATGAACAGATGCTGAAATACCCTTGAATGGTGCCGGGTAGGCTGAGGTTTGCTGGATTGCAGACCTAATGTATTCATGAAGTTGCAGAAACATCATTAGGAGTATTAATTAGCTATTAGAGAGCAGAATTCACCAGCATTAAAGATCATTTTGTTCTTCATACCTCTGTCAAATGCAGGCTGAGACAAGAGGAGCAAGTTCACAATAGGAAAAAAAAGGTTTTCTGCTAAAAGAGGAGACCAAAGGGGCTAAACCTGACAAGAAATCAATAAAGACACAACAGACTTTTTTCAAAAATTAATACTTTTGGGGTGTTAAAATTTACATGTGGTTGTGGGACTGTTGCCAAATGGACATTATAAAAATGATGGGCTGCTGCTGAACTGGAGGTCATTGTTTCCACACCTTGTATTCAGCAGTGCATGGCTGAGTACAGGAGTAAGGGGAGTTGTTTTTTGGCGTTTAAGCCCTTCAGATGCGCTGGACAGCTAGTCGCTCTAAGGAGCTTTCGGTGGAGAGGCGCTGAGAAGAAACTCTTTCTCGCTTTAATTGCTTTAGAGACGGTCCTCACAAAGAGACAGTGGCCAGATTTACCTCCCGTTTAAGTTCTTATTTCCATTGGTTCACAAGTTAATCCTCTTTCTTTCTCAGACCTCGGAGAAAAACCGAGTGATAGGAGCCTACCAAGGCGACAGAACCAGAGAGGCACACGAGTTTTTCCAGACGAGGGGAAAGACTTTGAAGCACGCATGGAAAAAGTTTTAGGGGGTTGAAAAGAAACAGATTTATAACGAAAGACGCACCAGGTAAATGAAACTTAGACTACATTAATTACACCAGTTAATAATAATAATAATAATAATAATGATAAAATTAATAATAATAATAATAATAAACTTAGTCTTACTTTAATGCCAATTAAAATAAAAACCTTTGTCCTGTTAAATATAGGCCTACCAATACCCGCAAAATACTGATGTACCACATCCATTTGTACGTTTAAGAAAACACATTGAATAGCCTATTTATTCCATCTCACGTTACCAGAAGGCTCTATTATAGCCTATAACAGCGAATGAGTCACGTTATTGGTTGTAGCTGGTAGTTACAATTTAGAAAGAGTCTAGCGCAAGTCCTACCGTTTGCATTTCTTTCTCTTCATTTAATTTGATAGTTTTGCATTTCAACACTCAAAACCAAGTTAATACTATAGGCTAATATGGAAGAATGGTGCTTACCTACCATTTAAAACACAAGACTTTTTGTTGCATGCTTTTTTATTTAAAAAAACCTTTCACCTTCACTCTCTTTCTCTATCTCACACACAAACGCGCTGATTGTCTGTAAACAGTGCTTTTGCAGTTGTGTTTTAAAGTGAGTCACAGCGCATGAACATAAATATTCTCTACTGCATGAAATCTTTTGTCTACTGTTCAGATTTGTTCAGAGTGAGAAACATGGTCAGAGATAAAACTGCGTTATAGGCCAAGCACTTTTCCAAAGAATCTCCCAACAAAATATGCAAGCTTTACATTAAAAGGCTACTTTGCGCTGCCCTTAATTCCCTACCTAAACGGTTTTGCTCCGGGAGAAGAAATCTTTTCTAAAAACCCTTCAAGAAGAGAAGGGCATTATTGCCCTAATCCTCTTACCCGCAGTCATTTTAAGACAGGGGTTTCTGGAGGCTGAGATGGCGTCTTGTCTTCCCTATCCCATCCCAAATCCTTCCAGGCCGGTAGAGAGTCTAAAGGCAGCACCCTGGCATCTATTAGCCATCTCTCTAAAGTCTCTCTCCTCCAGTGGCATGGAGAAAAAGCCGAAAGGCAAACAAACTAAAGGTTGGTTGCTTTCCCTCACAAAATATAAGCAAATGCAAATGATTCCTGCTCGAAGTGCATACAAGCAGATTGAGGATAGTAAATTTAAAAAAAAACAAAAACAAATAAAATCATTTCATAGTTGTGAAGGTTTAAAATGCGCTGACAAAGTGTCTTCGATATGTTTTTTTCTTCATTTTAATGTAGACATAGGCCCAATTTATTGCCTGTTAACGAAAGCCTTGATAAAAACAGCTAGGCCTACTTACAAGCATTTACTAAATTACAGTCGCCCATAAATCACTGTCTACACATTTGACCAAATTAAGCCTTAAAAGCTTCAATCTTCACATTTCGGGAATGTTATCAAATTCAAAAAATGAATAAACAAAACAGACACGGAGGGATTTTGCTGACATAATGTGAGTAAATCGATCATATTTGAAAAGATCTCCAGAAGTCAGTGCACCAGTCTGCCACTGGATCAGTGATCCTACTCACTTGACTGACAGCACAGAGAGCCAATAGAAAGCCACCTTGACCCCCACGAAGCTCTACTTAAAATCCCTCCACCGGGCTCTCGCGCACCAGCAGATGGCGGCTTCCCACTCCTGCGTGAGACGCGGCGAATTCACCTCGAGAGGAGCAGGCGGAGCGCGAGCGGACAGACTTGAAGTGAAGCAACAGACTGGATGACTTTATATTTGCCTATTATATTTACTTGTTATTTCACTGTCGGACAAAAGGACGAAAAAAGAAGTGCATTAAAAACCCAACACTCGGCTGAGGAGAAGAGAAACCTGAAGAAGTTGAGGAGCTCGGATTGTCTGTATCAACCAGAAAGACAACTGTCTCCACCAGAGGTAAAAACATTTTAGCATCTCTATTCAGTTAAAGGCATTTCTCATATGTTGTGTTAAAAAAAAAGATTAAAAGAGCTTGCAAATGCTCTCATTTTCATTAACATCTATCGCATTTTATCAGCCAGTCTCTAAAGTAATTCAAGTTAAATTGCTTCTAATTCAGAATTCAGAATAAAGTTTATTGTGTTTGTGAACAAAATAGCCTACATGTTATGATAGCCTGTAAGTGTTTAGCAATTTAGCGGAGATTAAAGAAGTCTCTTGGTTGTTGTCTGGTATTTTAAAGTTTCAGTGTGCAACCCAAAATGTAATCTGACATGAGAACTAAAATTCATAACTTTCACTCTACAAATTATGATTAATCAAAAACAAAAAGCTTAGGATAACCCTTAACAAACACCAAAACTTACACACTCAAAATAAAAAGGCACTACCGTTCTTCACTTCTTTTGGTTACACGACCTGGTCTCTTTAGAAAGGAACTCTTTTTCAATTAAAATAATGTCAATTATTCTGAAGTGATACACATTTACAGAGGTTGATGTAAGGTATTTATCCTTTTTTCTCCTAAATGTTAGGCTTGCAGATATGTCTTGCACAGTAACCCATCCATTCTTGTTACAAAATAAAGATAATAATTATATTGGCATCTTAAAATGCTTTAACATACTATAATAAAATATCAGACTGGCTTCAGCATAACAAATATCCTTCATAATAACTGCTCAGAGAAACATCAAAGACGTGTCCCTCGCCCTTTGACAGTTTACACTGTGACACAGCAAAGAGCAGATTGTCAGGTCGACTCATGCCCCTTGGGGCTGTTAGCAAATAACATTTTTCCTAATTTAGTCGGATCAAAGAGTTGCACTGTACATGCCAATTTACATAATGACGGTTTAATAAACGAAGCATTGAGCAGGGCTGCCAGGAGGGCCCAGTGCCTGGAGCAGAGAGAGGCTTATGAATGACAATAACAGCACTGACAGGCTCACAGTGATGAGCTATTGTGTTGAATTTGATATGGGCAGGAGGATACAGGCTACAACCAGAGATGTAGTGCTAAATATAAAAGGTGGGTGATACTGATAATCAAACTTAAAGACTTAAAGTTTATCTGCGCACAAAATAGAGGGGACAGTCAGTCTAAAAACACGTAGCTAAGATCAAGATATTTTATTTGCAGTTTTAGTGCATGGTGTAAAAAGTGAGATTAAGAATTAATGGCTGACGTTTTGTCAGTGTGCAGGAAGGCAAGTATAAACAAATAAATAGGCTACATGATGCATTTCTTTCCCTTATACACGTTGTGTAATTTAAGGCTTATGTATGATTAAAATGTATGGCACACCTTTATTTTCAGAGAAAATATGTAGAAAAGGAAAAAAACGCGTTTGAGAAAAATCGTTGGCCTTTTACTGGAACTCACGTACACGCGCACTTGTCCACGTGCGCACGCGGAAACGCCATCCCAGAGCTAACCACCCAGTCCCACTGTACGTCCGTCCGTGTCAACGTTGATGATAAATGGAGGGCCTCGCAGTCGAAACCTATTTGCACTTCCATTAGACGGGGAGCCAAATGGGGATCAACATGCATATTTTTACCCGCGGAGAAGCCATACATCTCAGCCAAAACGTTGCCCCGGGGCGATGGGATAAGAGGCCGCCAGAGAGGCGAGGGGGAGACGGGGAGGGGGGGCCCATTCAACTCAAATACTTGGGGGAGTAAAGTAAATGTTTAGCGAAGCACCTTCTGTCCCGGCGAATTAAACTATTCCCCACTGCCCTCTGATCACATTCATCAGCCGCCGCAGCCACTTAATAGGCTGGGAATGGGCACTGCGGGCATCACGCGCACACGTGCACGCACACGCGCACGCACACACTGGAAAAAACTGCCTTTTACAAGAACGACCACCCAGTCTTTTCTCCTTTATAAGATAGGTTTATAACCGTCTAATTATTATAAATATCATTATTAGCCTATATTATTGCAGAGTAATTTATTAAACAATTATCCTATGAAAAGCCAATGCTTTAAATTAACATTTGATTGTTACAAGAATAATCAATTCAAAATCAAAAGATGTCAACCAGCAATAAGGTTTTGTAAGATTTTGTTGTGTGATTTGACCTTGGTCAAATTAATTTAAACTAATATTCTACTTAATTTCAGAGCATGGAGCAATTTACGTAGCCTATAGGCTTACTCAAATTACTTACCAAAAAACTTAAGACATACTGATTTGTTATTAATGTGTTGACATTTAGAAAACAGAGAAAATCGCTGTACATGGTCAAATAGGCCTAATAAAACAATGACGAAATTAATACCAAAATAACCTGAAAGTTTTGTCAAAAATATGTAGAAGTTCCTATCTGTACATAAGTCGAATAACTTAGCCAGTTCCCTGGATACGGTACCTGTCACACAGCAGAAAGATTTATATCTTTTCCCCGTGGTCTCTCTGTAATAGTTATAATAACCGTTTGGGCCTCCGAGATATTCCCTCCTGTTAGCCTCTTCCGTACTAATACATATCTAATCGTGTCCTCCAGCGTTTCATCTATGAAAATCTCGGTCGTGAAGGAGAACTACAAAAAAGGACTTTGGGAAATTGCTGCCATGTGAAAGACTCCAACATCGATGTTTTACTTCAAGAAATTAATCAGTTCCTGTCATTAAAAGCATCTAAGCCTTTATGTAAATTAACATAAAATTACCCGGCTACATTTCAAACTTTGCTGTTAATTAAAGTCAGTCACTAAAATTAAACAGCACATACTGAGAATGGCATTTCCGTAATCATAGCCTATTAAAAAATAATCCTGCTATCCGATTGCAGGTTTTGACACCGAGACCCGGAACAAATCTCCTTATTTCATTTTCCAACACATTTCATCTACGCCTTGATCTGTCAAAGCAACGTTTTTAAAGGGGATTTGGCTTCTCCGGGATCACAGAAAAGACGTGAATACATTCATGAATAAGGCATCCGTCACGGTTCATTATGAGAACGAGTGATAATTACCCCAATTAAAAGTCTTTTGTATAATTAATGGATTGAACAGAGCGATAATTGGATGTTAATGGATAACACTTTTGTCTGAGTGCGCACATTAAAATCCATTGGCCCTTGAGCACGAGGACCTGCTGACATTTACTAATAAAAAGCTCGTGTGTGTTAGGCTATATCCAGTGGATCTGATAGATGATTTTGTTCTCATCAAAACGAGGGGGTTGGTTTGAGATCACACGTTCCATGGGCGCAGCGTGTCCATCAGCAGCCACGCGCCCAAAATGTCAAAATGTCCTTGAGTGAACTCCCCTTCCTTTCTCTTTGAAAACCTCAACCCTCCTCTCTTCCTTTCCGCAGGAAGCAACCTCTCACCATGCAGCACTACGGGGTGAACGGCTACTCTCTGCACGCCATGAACTCCCTCAGCGCCATGTACAACCTGCACCAGCAGGCCGCGCAACAGGCGCAGCACGCGCCCGACTACCGTCCGTCCGTGCACGCGCTCACACTGGCCGAGAGACTAGCTGGTAATTGAGTGCACACTAACACACAGACAGCAGCGCGCAGGCTGTTGCCCTGCCTCCAAACAAATTAGCTGCAAACTGTTATTGAAAACAGAACCCATCACTTTGTATTTCATGGCATGTTTTGTATGCAGTTCAGTTATGATGAAAGCTGCATGAACTTGAACGGAAGTTATTACAAAACAGGTGTAGCCTATCATCAATGGGTTTTCACTCAGGTACCAATTTGGAAACACTATGCACCTGAAAAAAATGCGCAAATGCAAATAAAGCAAGATGTCATAATTCCTATGCCTAGTAAAATAAACTTGCCATGTGTTTTTCCCTTCCAACGGCTGCGCATTTCAAGACATCATCCTGGAGGCTCGCTACGGCTCTCAGCACCGCAAACAGCGTCGGAGCCGCACGGCCTTCACCGCACAGCAACTGGAAGCGCTGGAGAAGACTTTCCAGAAGACACACTATCCGGATGTGGTGATGAGGGAGCGGCTGGCCATGTGCACCAACCTGCCCGAGGCTCGTGTGCAGGTAGGCCCTACCTAAGGGAAAACCACTGTAGACAAAAATACACTGACATGGATGTATGTCTCCCGCGACCCTGTATGCAGGATAAGCGGTTGACGATGGATGGATGTATATGTGTCTGTAGCAGCCAATAATGAGTTTGGAGGGGCTTTTAAGGATATGTGTATCATTTTGTTTATTTGTATTATTTCTGTCATTTTAATGCAGATTTTCTATCTTATGGGGACTTCGAAAATTTTATGTAGTATTTAGTATCAACTTAAATCTGTGACAATCGTTGTTGATTCAAAATAATAGCCTAGGAAAACAAAACAAAAACGAAAGGGCTACTTCAATTATCTGCTGCATTAATAAAACCCCACAGTTGAAAACTGTGACTGTGCATGAAGTATCAATACACATATATAGAAATTAAAAAAGTTATTTTTAAATTATTAACTTGTTATGCAGGTTTAAGCTTTTCACTTCTTTCAACACAAAATAAAAATTAGGTTATCCATATACAATGAATGCTAAAATACAACTAATATTGTTAAAACTGATTTAAGTTTTTGATAATTTGCTTACAGACTATTGATTTGGGGGTTTTTCAGGCCCCTCAATCATATGATGCTCAATGAAATCAATCTTTTAGAGAGTGTACAGTACTTATCCACTGCTTTTTTCTGCCTGCTCTCCCTCTAACTCGCCCTGTTATCCTCTCTTCCATCAGGTTTGGTTCAAAAACCGCAGAGCCAAGTTCCGTAAGAAGCAGCGCAGCCTCCAGAAAGAGCAGCTTCAGAAGCAGAAGGAGGCTTCAGGGGAAGGAGGAAGCGAGAAGGAGGATGCGCCTCCCTCCACAACTATCCTTACTGACACCCAGCTCCCTCCTTCGTCCTCCTCCTCCTCCTCTTCTCTGGAGACAGAGGGTCCTGTAGTCCGTCCTGTACCGTTGGACATGGAACTGAACGTCACGTCAGCAGAACACTCTGGCAGCGAGTCTGCGACGGAGGATAATGCCACAGATAAAGAGGACGAGAGTAAATCTCAGAGAGAGGAGATGAAGTGTGAGAGAGCAGTGACACCTGGGGACGTCTCTCCAGTTTGCAAAAGACTCAGCCCTAAACCAGGTAAGAACAAGATACTTGATCATTACTCTGACAAGGAGCTTGATTCCTTTCTTGATCCTTTACAAACTTGTTTAATCCCTCATCTGCAATACTGTACTCATCAGCTGACTTTAACAACCTCTTACCTCTTCTCTCTGTCCAGACTCTCCCCTGGTCTCTCCGTCAGTGACCCCCTCCTCCTCCAGCAGTGGCCTGGCCAGCAGCGGTCCTCTCTCTCAGAGCCACTCTTACTCTTCCTCCCCTCTCAGCCTGTTTCGTCTGCAGGAGCAATTCCGCCAGCACATGGCTGCCACCAACAATCTGGTGCACTACCCTGCTTTTGACCTCGCTGCCCCATCATCACTCCCCTACCTGGGAATGAATGTTAACATTCCCCCCGCGCCGCTGGGCTCTCTGCCCTGCCAGTCTTACTACCAGTCCCTGTCCCATCACGCCCAGCAGGTGTGGAACAGCCCACTGCTGCAAGCGTCGGCTGCAGGTGGCCTCACCAGCCACAACAACAAGACCACCAGCATTGAGAACCTGCGTCTGAGGGCCAAGCAGCACGCTGCTTCGCTGGGACTGGACACAATGTCTAACTGAGAATCAGATTGTATGGCGGACAGTGTGAACTAGGCCAGGGCCTCGGCCTACACATCACCCCATCCTACTGTGTGTCTGTGTGACTGTGATAGTTCTTTAGGAACCGTATACTGACCCCATCTCGGCTAGATGGGCACAGGACATGCAGAGATGTCCAAAAATAAAACATGCCAACATGCACTGGACCTACAGAGATCCATTTAACAGCTTTTTAGGACAGACCACACTTCCCCAATATGTTTGGCTCCTCTAAGCTTCCGTTGCAGCTCAAGATACAAAAGTAGAACCTCGGGATAAGAAAACCCATAAGATATTTTATCTTGCTCAAATAATGCAATGGATCAAGTGAATGTCCTAACAAGAGGGTAGTGAACATGTTCCTGACTCATCTGATGAAGTTTCCAACAGACATGTAATGCTGGACCTTTTTAACATCTGAAATAATAATAAAAAAGAAAAATGATGTATGATGGATGCACTCAATTTAAAAGACAATGCAAATAATGTTTACAAGGATAATGTGAATAAATGAGGCACTTTTGAAGGAATTAAGCTTGTTGGTCGGGATAAAAAAAGTTATCGCTCATGCAGAAAAGAGACCATTCCTGTCACAGGACCATTGACATTTCAGTTAAGCACAGCGGTTATGTACATAGCATGTACTACATAACAGCACATAAATAAAACTAAACTTCAAGCCATGTTGTCCTCAACAGCATAATTAAAAGTGACTAATTTACCAGTTTAATGGCCAGTAATATGCCACTGCACAGAGGCTGGCTTGATAATGAGAAAATTATTTCAGTGACTAAATTCTCAAAGCTTTTAATTACATTTTGCCCTGGGCTGAGGGAGCTGGGGCAAATGCAATTATGAACATACATACCATTTAAGACCGCCTTTATAAATTCAAAAGGTCTGTGCACTAAAACGGTCAATTAAGGTAGCAACAGGATTGACATCACTTTACCATGAGTTGATCAATTTCCTTTGGTTAATGTATGGTATGTATGGTTATTGTAAACAAATCTGGAACCATATTCTCTCCTTTATATTCTCTTGAGGAAACATGCAGCTTTTCACTGAAAGTCAGACTGACTGTTAGCACTTGATGAGGAGAATCACACGAGTCTGATGTTTTTCTGTTAATGTGTTCTGGAAGATAATGTCTTCATATGAAAAAAAAAAAGCACATTATTTTAGTATGTAAAATACAAAAAATCTATTAATGTTTACTGGTAGGGTAATTGTAAAGCGCCTATTATGTTGTATAACTGATAATGGACTTTGTCTCAGATAAAATTCCTTTAGCTGTCAGATTGTAAGATTGTATTTGCTGAGCTCAACGGCAGCCCTGTCTACCCCTCCTCTCCTGGTTTTCTGTGTGACGGTCCTGGGTTGAATTCATAAATGTGTTCACTTTCTTCTCTCGAACTGGCAAGGAAGAAGCAATTTTGCAAATTTGGATTGCTGGAAAACTGAAAGCGTCTGTCAAAGAAAGTGAAAAGATTTCAGTGAATAATTGACCCGTCCTCTGTGTACTGCTGTCTTGACTCTATTTTAGTTCTGTCGTTGCTATTCTTCTAATGCTGCCCCACCCCCCGACTGTCTCTGTCAAACTACTTGGTCCAGTGGTAGATAGATTTATGATTGCGGAGGAGAGAGTGGACCATCAGCAGTGTTGTTTTCTTTACTCCTCCTTAAAAATGTAGACTTGAATTAGTGTTGTTGTAAAATGATCGCAAATAAAAACATTGCCTGGAGACATTTACAACGAAGACTTTTCCATCTGTGCTGAATATTTACACAGTATGCAGGGTGGTAATAGCCTTACCTTTAAATGGGTGGTGTCCTATAGTTATTCCTATTAGTCATTGATCTGCATGAATTTAGAAATACAACAGCTTTAAGATCTTATGTTTGAATGATGTTAATCTGCCCTTCAGTGAGTAAGCAAACTTTAATATCTATTGATCAAGTGCACAAAAAAACTGAAGAAACTACATTGTGTTACATTTCTACTTTGGAAAATGTAAAGTATGAGTAAAAACAAGTGAAATATAATGCAAGTTGTAATACTAAATATAATAACTTATAATCACCCTAAAGATATAAATATATTTTCTAATTTATGAATATATTTAAGGTTATTTATAAGTACATCAGTATAGGAGAAGAGGTGATAGTGAGTGGAAAAAGAAACACAATGGTCACTTTTAAAAGAACAATAAAAAAACAAAACAAATAAAATGTATGAGAATTTGCATGGAGACAAAGTAAAGAAGCAAAGGAGACAGAAAATGAACAACGCAATCTGAAAGATAAAAAAAAGCCGCACGCAGACATAAGCCATCCCCAATGAATAAGCAGGCCATTATCCTGAAGAATGACGGCCCGGGGCGGTGATTATGCTGCTATTATATCTTTAACAGCATGGTTTGTCAAAACGCAGAGACCCCCACCCAACCCTGTCCCTACACACACACACACAAACACACACACACGGGCCAATTGGGCATCTCTGTCACCTCCTCCAAAATGTGCCCTTGCTCTTCCCACAGTAAACTTTACATGTACTCTAAATGCATCGCCCAGGCTGCGTGACATTGCTCTGCTGTTAATTGAATTGACCTTTAACATATATTTTCCCCTCAGTGTGTGTAAATAACAAATGCACCTTGGCTGCTGCGCTGGGCTGTTTCTCCAACCGTTATGAATGACCACTTTCCAAAAATCGGCTAGAGGAGGATAATGATCTCACCAGATTAGCAGCGTTAATGTGGGTGTAACACCTCACCCTAACCTTTGTTGTGTTTTATTACACCACGCACATGTGTGTGCATCCTCGACCAAGGGCATCCTGATTGTGTGGCTGATAAGATTGGGATGTGGATATGCAGCACAAGTGAATGTCCTTGTTATCCAGGGTAAGAATCTGTCCAGGTACACAGCAGGATTTCCTCCCATGGGGCTCCCAACAAAATACTCTTGTTCCAAATGTTCTCTCTTTTCTTAACACCCCCCGCCCACACACACACACACACACACACACACACACACACACACACACACACACACACACACACACACACACACCCCTAGATTGTACTGCTGCAGAGTCAAGGGTGTGTTGAACCCTCGATGCTGGATCAGGTGCTTCCATCTCTAACACTCAGGGCTATATATTCACCACCATAACCACTTATTTATAGGCACACACGTATCTCCATCTACTTTCCTTTAAGCAAGTGATGACATGTGTGTATTTGTGTGGGTGGGTTTGTGTGTGTATGGGAGGGCTGAAATAACTAAATCGGCTGACAACTGATATGATATATATGAACCCAATACTGTAAATCGCAGGTCAGACAGTTTACGATTTTAGTCATCTGAACTACTCAAAAACAGTGTGTTATAACAGTATGCATTTTTTTCCATTGTAAAGCTTGACATATTTTGAATCAAGAAAGGTTTGTGTCGATCCACACAGATCCATTGGTTTGCTCTCTCTCTGACACCCCCGGAGCAAGCCCCCCCACACAAAAATCAGTGTACCATTCAATCAGTCCTTTTTCCCTCCCCCCGTCTTCATGGTTCTCTTAAAGGTTTTAACCATGGCGAGAATGAAAAGTGCCAGCGTTAGAAACCTCAGCCCATTGAGGAGGTGACAGGGTCTGCCAGAATATGATCCTAATCCTGTTTCCAGCATTCTTTTAGCCCACTGGCATTGCCATTTCGCTGCATATTCTCTGAGCTGTCAGGCCCAGGGAAATCCCTCTAATAGTGCATTGCCCAGATACACATCAAAGCCCTCCTGGAAACCACCAGCGGGAACTTAAGGGAGAGGGGTGCACAAGTACCATCAGGCTCACAGCTGCACATACACATGCAAGGAGTATGCTTGCTAACTTGCTTGAAAACACATAATGCTCAAAAAACACAACTCATAAGAGGATGACTGACGGAGAAATCACATGGCAACACTTTCTTTGTTAAATCTGAAACATTTAAAACACTTATCTTAACATGTTTAATAATTAATAGGACAAGAGAGATACTAAAGATATATGTTATAGAGATAGAAAAACACAGAAATGATTGATATCAAGAGGCAGACAACAGGTGACTAAACTATATATCCTGGGCCACCCTCCTTTAGTTCCACTTCATCTTCCATTTTCTTCTTGTCCTTTTTTTCTTAAACACTCTGACTGCCATCTCACCCCTCCCCGGGTAATCTTCTTAGAGAGAAGAAAACCCCTATTCTCTCTCTTCTTAATCTGGCTGCAGCCTAAACCTACGGTTGCATTTCCAATGTGGGCCTCACTGAACCAAACGGGACTGCTCTCAGCCAGTTCACATCGAGTATTGAGTCTATCTGAGAATGCTTAGATCCCATATTAGGTATATGGCAGCGACGCTTCTTTGAAGAAACTTATAGCACAGTCTGTGGCTCTGAAGGGAAACACTTTTAGAGATAAGCTGCAACACAAAGTGTGTAAATATCTCATAATACATAAAATAAAGACTGGGCTACATTATGGGATGTACTATATATTGGTGAGGTATTAAAGAGATTAATTGTTTTAAAATATACAGAAAGGCCAGTTGTCAAATTAGATATTGTCATATAGCCTGACCACACCACATTATGAAGAGGAGTATTTGGGATGGGATCCAGGAAGCCTGTTTTGGTAGTATATCTATTGTTGTAGTGTAATTTCCTGAAAAATCATCCATGAACTGTAAGCTATGCAAAAATAAAAACTGAAGAAGGGAAAGGGAAGAACCTATGCGTGTCACCTGCTCCTGGTCACTCTCCACCTTCCCAGTGTGTCGTACTGAGAAGGTGTAATACAACTGGATACGTGTAAAAGGCAAATTAATCAACATACAAACAATTGTAATCTGAACCCCCCCTATATAGCATTTTCTATCCACCCTGTGGCTGAGAGCACACCGGTGAAATCCCATCTCCCACCGCCAACATGTCTGATCTTCACCTCTGGGGTGGAAATCACCACAGCAGGAACAGCAGCATCTGCATTAAATACACAGACTATGACTAAGTCACCATGTGTGTCTTTACTAAACAAAACCTGTAACACCTGAAAGACATGTTTCTTTATAAGTCTCAAGTCACTTTTTCCTGTCAGTGCTCAGTTTATATATTATATACATTTCATTGCTAATGGATACAAGATCATTCATTAAGAGGCTTGCGTGGTATAAGGTGAGAGCATAAGACCATTACAGTGTTTTGCATGTTTATTAAAAACATCTACATTGTATTTGAAAACACAACAGAAGCACGGTTGTTTGGTTAAATCTATAATATTCATCTTTCTAATACACAGAATATGTCTCCCTAACACAGGCTTACACACAGGGACACAAATGCACAGCGGTTCATTGGCTAACTCAATAATAAAGCAGACAGCCAGTGGAGTCTATAGACAGGCAGAATAGAGAGTAACTCATCGCTAACAGTCTGCCGTCTCCTGAGTGTTAAAACATGTAAATTTATGTAAGAGCCCATAGGAAACACATATTTACAATACGTTTAGGTAATCACAAGAAGGGGCATTTGGGGCCCTGGAGACGAAAGCAGTCAATACAAAAATAGTTTTTATGTGTCATTAATTCCCTCTGCATTCCCAGATACATCCCCCTTTTACCACAGTAATACAGTAATCACTCACAATCGCACAGAAAATTATCTGCACTCATCTGTGGAATAAAAAAGCGGAGGGGCAAAACAGGGCGAGACGTCCCATTTTAGCTCTCCGCTGCCTCTTTAATGTTCATCTGGGAGCCGCATGGCTGCCGTCCATCCCTGCGCGGGGATGGGAGTCAGCTTCCAGCACTTGGAGCAGCTTAATGACAGTGGGATGTGGATGGTGGACTCGTTAGACACACACACACACACACACACACACACCTTTTTCACGCTACATTGCCTGGCCAGGACAACATAAAGGGTCATCGGTGGTGTGATGGAAAAAGAGGCACCTCTCCGCTCACATTAGCTTGTGATAAGAGGAAACACTTCACCTCTGAGCGATGTCAATGCAAAACAGAGTCAATCCAACTATAATAATGAAAGTTGCATAGTTTCATATGTTAGAAGCCAAATGGTCAAATAAGTCATTACCCGCCTGTTCATTACTCCCTCCTTACACACACTCACCCACATCGTCGTATTAGGCAAAGCCATCAAACCTGATGAATAACCGTAGAACAAGCCAAACCCATTTCAGGCAATTGTGATGGAAATTTGTGTTTCAGTAATGTGAGTCCCCAAACTGAAATATTCATCTCTATGCATCTGACACAGAGCAGGAGGACATACACACAGGAGCTCCCTTCAATATATATAACATTTAGAGACATGTCCTCAGTGTCCTCTAGTGGGGACAGACTATACAGGATACTTTGTGTACGGTTGCCACCTACTGGGCGAATAGAAAAACTACAATTAAAAGAGACATATTGCAAAGCTAGTTATAGTCATGAGCACATTCTGACTTAGTCAAATCAGAGTTTTAGCTCACTCAAAACAAGAATCCCCTAAAACTGAATTTGGCTTTCCAGTTGGTTCACCAGAGACCAAAAGTTTCCATATAAAAAGGTAGTTCAAAGCTGTCCACAATTATAATGTCATCATCCAGGTTCTCTGGGTTTTCTGATGATGAAATAAATCAAATGAAACCAACTGTAGTCCCTTGTTTCAATAGTCCACAACTATGATGTTACTATCTCCTCCAACAGCTGCAGATAATACATATACATGAGTCTGAAGCCAAAGAGTCAATAGGATCGCCTCATTAGTCCATTAAACAGTACCACAGTCATTCAAGTGTCCACAAGCTTTCAAGCAAAGCTGTCCACAATCTATGTAAGCCTCCTTAGCTTGCACATGTAGATGGGCCCAAAGTTAGCGGCCAAGTGTGGGATGACCATCTCACCCAGGTGGAGGTCGGGTGCAAAGTGAAAGGTTTTCCTAAACATGCTTATGAGGGGTCGCAGATCAATGACCTGAATGTAGATAGGATCAGGAGAAGGGGGAGAGGAAAAAAAGGAAAACAAAAAGTTTAAATAATTTGTTGTAATTTGGTTCCCATGTTCAAAAACAGGACATCCTGATATTGTAGAGGTGAGATGAAGTATTGTCCTCTTCCACTATTCTTAAGTTTATCAGATTAACTCTAATAACCAGTTTACAGTGCGAGTCTGACTGACCTGAAGGTGGATGCCGTGGTTCTCTTGAGCCAAGCAGATGGCCTGCTCCACCACGCTCAGGTTCTGGATTTGAGAAAGAGTGCAGGTGGAGTAAAGGATCTCCCCACCTGGACAAGCTGCTACGATTCCCGCCCTGCAGGATAGAGAGAGTGTTTGTTCACTTTAAATAAAATAATCATGTACACTTGTTGCTTTAAAATGTAACATAACCGTAATAATACAATTCACTTTATATTTATATCCTCAACAAAACTTACAGCAGCAGCTCCAGCTGTAGCTGTGGCAGCCTTCGTCTCTCACCGGTCCTGCTCTTACTGAATATATTGTTGTCATCCTCCATGAGCGAGTGTCTGTCTGTGGTGCAGGGGACGTCAACAAGGACCTGAACACAGAAAAGAAAGGATGTATTTGGATAAATGCCGTAATCTTTCCGAAAAGGATGAACATGATTATGTGACTCTGGCTTACTCTGTCGAAAGTGTTCCTTTCAATTTCCCCCCACTTGGTGCCATCAAAGGAGGTAATGCGTAGTTTCTTGTCTGTCAAAAACTGCTTAGGAACGTAGCTGTGGAGGACCTTCCTCAGCCGCGATGTCCGTGACACCGAGGCATCATTTACACACAAAAATCCTTTTTGGCATAAACACAGACGATGGAGGGTTAACTACCACCCACAGACCGAAAAGCATCACTAATGCTCACAGACAGGGGAGGCAAGAAAGGTTTGGCATGGACTAAGTAAGGAAAGCAGAAAGATGAGATCCGTCCTGTTACCTATAGACTGGGTCTGAAGTAAAGCCAGGGTCTTGCCTCCTGGAGCAGCACACAGGTCAAGCACATTGTGTCCTTCTTGAACATCCAACGCAAGACAGGGCAGCACAGATGCCGCGTCCATGAGGTAGTAACCCAACAACCCGCACATGTCTGGTCTTTAGAGGGCAAGGGAAGTCAGAGAGAACTGAGAATCAGACTGCACTTAGAAGAAGATGTGTTCAACCACTTGGGCTCACTAAAGCATTTTCAAACTAAACACATAAAGACAAAAAATATGTTCATCACGTTACAAACTACAAGACTTTCAACAACAGGGCTAATGTCAGCAGTGCTTTCCGAATAACCAACAGCCGAAGCAAACATTTTCATCCACTGAACAGAGGCAGTTAGTTCACGTATCAAAATATTTTTAGTAACAAATACCTTGCTGGCTTGAATCTTGTGATGTCCCCTCTTGGGAAAACAAAGCATTTTATGTTAGGACTAAGCTGTAAAGGAGAGAGCTGTTGATGATCAGGGTCAGATTTCTTCATAGAATCACCGGCTGCAACTTCAGATTCTTGCTCCAAGCATGGCTGAGCTGCAGAAATGATGAAGATGCACAATTGATCATATTAATCAAATTTTTTTTTGCCAATTTCTCCTAAATACAGCCATGTTATTAAAGGCAGGAGGAGTAGGATTAGTTGTTGCGGTTTGTTAACACAATATTCAAAGTTGGCCCCTCTTCCCTGGCTCAAAGACACCAGAAGCACACGCCCCATTGCTGTTTGTAAAAAAAAAAAAAAAAAAAAAAACACAAACAAAAAAACCCCCAAAACTCTGATGCACCCTAACATTACCTGAACTTATGAACTACTTACTTTCTATAAAATCAATTCTGTCTGTTATTCACAGTGACTGTGAATGTATCTTTTGCTGTTCTGAAAGCTCTAAATTAGTGAGCTCTCAGTATCAAAACCTGAAAGCACACTGCTTTCTCCAGCAGAGTAACTGATAAACTAACATCAGTAGGTTTCTAAGCAGGTAAACTTTGGAAATGCACAAGTACCTTCTGCATCTGTGTCACTGATGAAGTTGCTGCATCCCTGGGCTGTTAAGTCTGCCATAACAGCATCTTGGGAGAAATTATTGTGCAGGGCTCCATATTTCCTCTCTGACAGCAGAGCGGCTCGGACTGATGGCCACAGCTGCCCCAGCTGGACATTGTAGGTGGCATCAAAGTGCTGCAGGGCTAAACCGGTAGGAGGGTGCTTGGTGCGTGTGGCAGCCTGCAAAAGTAAGAAGGTTAAAACACCGATTTTAAATGCTCACTTGCTTTGATGTTCTCTGGGTGAGTTTAGTCAGTCAAATTAAACACCTAGAGTTAGGTGCAGGACTTGAAAACACACGTGAGTGTACAATTTTACATTCTTCAATGAACATCTAATAAGACTTATATACATTTTAATATACTGTATGAAAAATAACATCATAAAATTATATGTCTGTCTCACATTCAATTATGGTTACATTTAGCTAATTGAAGATATTGTCTTTTATTTTAACTGTTTACCTTCATTAATTTAATTTCAGCTGCAGCATTTTAGGTCCAGCTCTCATTAATCACATTCGCCATAATATAGTTATTGTCAAACTTCAATGCTTTTTTTGGGAATATCTACTATTTGCTGCTATGTGGCTTGATAACGTTACTCTTGACAGCTCTAAACATCAAGATAGTACAGATAACGACCACTATTAACTGATTTATCTGTCACTGTATTAAAAACATACCCATTTTTCCTTCACTCGGTTCCGTCTTGGCGTGAAACACCTTAAATCTTTCACTTTTCTTAGTAGCAGTCTGGTGTCCAGGAGCAGTGCCATCATGCTGTGCAACAGTTTATTAGGCCGTCTTCGCCCCGCTAGCCAAAATAAAGGTTCCGCCGAAATCATCCAAGTGAATGGGCGGCCCTTACACAAATACAAACAGATGATTGGACCATAGCAACTTCAATAATCGCTTTTAACCAATAGAAATCGTTATCCGGTAATCCTTCTAGTCGTTTCCTGCGTGTGACCGACCTAACGTCCTCAACGAGAAGCGGTGTGATATCAAACAAGGATTTCTGTCCTCTGTCGGGATTCTTTGGTGAATTTCGGAGTTGTAATCATGGGTTTCGAGAGGAAGATGCTCACACACGGCGACCCCGACGACGAGGTACTGGAAATTACAGATGTGTGCCCTTTAAGTGGCTTTTTCTAAGCGTGTGTGGCCAAGTTAATCTGCGAAGTGGCCTGACTCTGCTGGTCGGCGGTGCAACGTTAACGCGAAGGGTTTAGTGTCGCTAACGTTACGTTATGAACCATCCAGGCTCCTCAGGTCGTCTGGGACAGGTGCCCCTTCCGTCAAAACTAAACTGTTTACTGCTGCCTTGTATTAAATCATTGAGGCTCTAGAGTGTCTCACACTCCTGGTTTATTTATTTTTTTTTTCTCTGTAACTCTTTAATTGTTAACTGCCTTATGTTGCTCTTGCATTTTGTCTTGATGCCATTTTTATTTAAAGCCCTTTGAATTGCATTGTTGTTTAAATGTGCAATATAAACATCTATTCTTGCCTTAAGACGTTTAAATGTTACTTTTAGTACGCGGGTGGTGGCTGAAAATAAAAACAAAGTGTGAGTGAGTCTACATTTAAAAAACTATTTCGCCCATTTTTACTGTGAGGGTACCCCTCTGGTACTGTAGTACTGTACCAGTAGTTCCTTTTTGTTGTTTGGATATCCATCCCCCAGTTAATATAGACACAAAGTTACAAAAGCACAAGTAGTAGTTTTAACTTTTAGTAGTTTTGAGCCTTTTTAAAAAATTAAATAATTTTCCAGACTAAACGTAAAATGCCCATGATATAATTTTCACTGACCAGGAGGAAGATGCACCTGCTGAAGAGGAAGAGGAGGAGGAAGAAGAAGACATGGTGGTAAGTTTGTTCTTCATAAATTTGAATATTCTTTTAGTATTAACAAGGAATTCACCCGCAGCAAGCTTATTCAAGTATCAGCACTAGCCAGCTAAATAACTGTATACACACAAAGACCTTTTTATGGACAGAAATGGGTAAAATAAAAACATTTGACCAAAAATATGAACCTGCATTCAAGTAAAGTGATAATTAGGTTTGCACACCACTATGAGACAGTATGATAATAGACAGTATGATAATCTGCTGTTTACATTTCATGCAGTGGTGGAAAGTAACTGAGTACATCTACTCAAATACTCTACTTAAGTATATTTGAGGTACTTAAGTATCTCTTCTGCTCTTTACCAGCAGTGATGAACACATGAATGCATCAGTAATTATAATCTATTTGTACTAATGTAATACACATTCTGCATAATGAGTAGTTTAACTCTTGAGAGTGTAAGTAGATTGATGCTACTATATAATACATAAATAGTACTTTTATTTAAGTAATTGTGAATTCATGGCTTTTACTTGTAATAGTGTTATTACACAGGTACTACTGTGGACTGATGGCCAATTATTTAAAGTTGGGGTAGTCAACAGGATAGGTATAAGTATCCAACTGAAAAAAATCCTGCCCCCTCCCTACAGGCCTCCCTCAAAACACAATTTAATGCGCAGTGAGCGTGTGGGCAGATTACAGGCAGGTAGGCCAGCCGTACATTTCTGAGACAGCCCCAGATATCTGATTATTTAAAATTTTGTATCAGGGCATTTGGTTTATTGATTGTTGCCGGGATATACAGAGGATTTCCAAAAATAAAACTCCTGAAATTAATTGCCCTCGTGCTTATCTCCATCACTCAATCTCAGTTTGAACCTACATACAGTCCATGGTTTGAACATTGTGATTGATTTGCCAAAAGCTCTAAGAAATGTTTTGTGTAAGACTGAATTGACCTTCGATTTCAGAAGTAGAGATAAATGATGTTGGTGCAAAATTGCTGGCGGCAGCTGGTAACACATTTGTTACCAGGTATGTGATAAGTTCATTTGGTGATTCATTTTTTGTAAAAATGATAGACCACATTTGCTTTTGTCCCTCCCCAGGACCCTATAGAAACAATACGAGTCAAGTGTGAGCAGACTGAACACTGTGTGCACTACAAGGAGCGTCTGGAGACATGTGAAGCCCGAGTCAGCTCCAGATCCAACACTGAGGAGGAATGCACAGAAGAACTCTTCGACTTCCTGCATGCACGAGACCATTGTGTAAGTGTGACACAAAGAGGGTGGAGAAAAATGTGCCATTTTCCCTTTCCCCACATGAACCATACTGCATGTCACTTGAGGTTTGAAAGAGCTCGTGTGCTGATGAAGACACCAATTGTGTTCCCCTTTGTATTTATAGGTAGCACACAAGCTGTTCCACCACGTGAAATGACCTGCCTGCCCAGTTTCCACCACTTGGAGCTGTAGAATCCTAACTGCAAAAATTGTAAAATAATCAGGAGAGTTCTGTTGTTCCTGTGTATTAATGTAAATTGATTTTCTTGGGTTCCTTGACTAACAACATGCCACCCTTTCTGTATACAGTACATACTTGCGTAGACCGTGTTGGAAGCAGCATATTTAATCAGTCGCTACTTGTATAGGTTTTGGGTTCATCCAACTTGTCAAGGTTGTACAAAGAACGAGCTCAGACTGTTTCTCATAATGTGGTCAGTATATATGCTGCTCCAGTAACGGAGAAGTTACCTCAGGTTTGGTCATGAATTCATCACGCTGACAGAAAATAAAAGGTTTTGTTTTGTTTCCAGCATTGCATTATTTTAACTCATTTGACTCTCCTGTGGTACAAGTGGAAGTGTTTGACTTTGAAGCTCTAAAGGGTCTTTAAATGTCGGTCTAACGTGGATGTTACAGGCACACAGTTTGGTAATATTGACAAGATATTGCACAAATTACTTGATACAAAAATGCTTCAAATCCCATGATAAAACCGGTGTTCATCTCATAAGTCTTAATGAGTGAATACAATTTTAAATAATTACAGCATCCTAGTTTGAGAAGTCTATACAATTATGGCAGGATACTGAAATATCATGTAGTCCTAGGAGCTGATACTATAGTATCAACACTTGTAGCCTAGTTTAGGAAATCAGGTATATAGTGTACTGCCTTTATACAACTTACATTTCAGTATATAAAGTGTGTCTAGGTTGGAGATCAAGAGAAGAAAATGGGCTTACAAAGGCTACTTTAAATATTAGTAGCAGAATTTATATTAATTTCCCACTCTAATGTGGTGTCAGGACTCCCAGAAGGCAGACAACAGTACTCCAGAGATAAAAGCTGACTAAAACTTTATTGAATACATGCCATCAATCATAATAAATTAAATCAAGTAACAGAAAAATTTACAGCATTGGTCAAAAGGTGGCAGTACACTGCCAAAAAACACAGGAACTGAGGTAGACTGAATGTGGATGTCTGTGGTTGCGGTCATTTAAGAAAACCACATTTCAAAAGAAAAAGCATAACATGCAGACAACTCATGCACACAGTGCATACTGTTATAGAAGATGTAAATGAATTCACCTTCTCACCAAGAGTTTTCTTTGTTGCTGTTGCCAACATAATCATCTATAGAGGCCTGCAGAGAGCAGTAGAGACAGAATTTTATTTAATTTTTTTCCCCCCCTTACAAGATTGAATAGTGTGTCTACAAGTTATGACAATGACGTGAGGAAGAGCTCTGCACTCACCTGCATGAACAGCCTCTCCTTCCTCAGCTTCCTGTAGAAGAGAAGAACATCTGGATCCGCCCGGACCACGCGTGGGTCAAAGTCCATGACCCTCAGACCCTCCAGGCTCCGAGCCCGAGACAAAGCCACGTAAGCCTGGCCACTCTCAAACACACGCGCCAGAGAGATTTCCACACAGTCCAGTGTCATTCCCTAAAATGAATGGTTAAAGGTCAGAATGACTGACATGCTAGCATGCAAAATCAATCTTACAACAGAGAATTTATTGGCATTTTTGTAGTTCACAATCAAGCAGTGTGCAATGACGTATGGATATTGCAGTGTTTAGCATAAAATGTGTCCAAAATCAAGGAGATTTATTCACAGCTCTTAAGTATATTAAATTATTACATATCTTTAACATATGTAATTTATAAAAAAAAGTTATTTCAAGATTCAATGCCACATGGGCAACATCTCCACCCAAACCCTGTGATTCTCAAATTCTTTACTGTCCACTCATTTCCTCTGAAGGGATGAAGGTGTGGGTTTTCCTTTTTATTTCCCCGTGCTTTAGCTCCTCTGCTTTTGATCAAACACTGGTGACACATGGGTCGTGACGAAGAACTCAATTACCCAGAGGGACACTTTTTCCTCTCTGACCAATTTCAGGTCTGAGGTCAGGATATAGAATATGCTGTGGGAGCACTGTGGGAAGCTGCAGGCGAGACAGCGGAGTGATTGCTGAGGATACAATTACAGCTCATATGTGGGTAGCGATAATGTTCAGGGTGTCTGACAAGGCCTCTGTAGCAATTTCCCTTCATCAAAAAAAAAAAAAAGTCAGTTTTTTTACTTTTATTAGACAGCACAAAGGTGGGTGAAAGGAAGGGAGGAGGAGGGGGGGTGGGGGGTGTTACTGGCAAGCCCTGAATGCCACACCCAGACACACTGGTCTTAAATTCTTAAATGTGGCTACTTCCCCAAATGAACACTGGCTGCCCATTTGAATTCCAGTTGTGTAAACTGAGCAATTTATAAAACAAATAGCCTCTCTAAATTCATGCTCAAACACTCATAATGTCAATAACTGTTATTGGTTTTAGTCATTAAACTAGTACTTTGTAGTAGTTTAACAGAAAAGTGTTTCTGTGAAGTTCAGTTTAAGATGTGAGGCAAGGCTGATTGTAGATCAGTGTTGCTTGATAAATACCAGCCAAGGACAACCTGTGTTCAGATTTTATATATTTTAATACTTTGTTTTCAAAGAGCTGTTTCCTCCACCACCCACAATTCATTTTAATCTTCTTCCGGCTGTGAGCAACTCCTCCATTGCATTGTGGATGATTGTGAGTAGTGTGCATCAGCAGCCCACATTTAAACCACATTTAGTATGCATGCTGTTTTGCATGCTTTGAGTGCACTTCATTTTGTCATTTTCTGGTGTGAACACTGCATACTCAAAATGTGCATAGAATTTACATAGTCAGATTTCAAGACAATGGCTAGGAGATGCAGAGCGACCTAATGCTTACAAGTCCCACTACTGTGCTGGTGTCAGAAATAAACCCATTTGAAATGAGTCATTGATAATATAGTACTATTAGTGAATTCATAGAAACACTTCTTGTGTAAAAAGTAATAAAAAAAAGGGAGATTATTCTTTTTATCTGAACACAGTGACATCGCTTTCTTCTTCTCCACCCTTTTGATATCAACCTTGGATGACAATAAGGTAGACAGTGAGTAAGCTTCAAGGCCAGACAGACTGCAATCAAACCATCAGCCATTATAAGCCGTCTAGAGGTGACTGCAAATGCAGTACAGAAGAAAAACACATTTGTTTCAGAACAATTAAATTAAAATAGTCATTCATCAAGTGAGTCATTCATTTGAGAGAAACTCACAAAACACTGGTGTCCCATGACAACACTGAACAAGGTCTTCTGAACAAGGACTATACGGCTACTCACCTGGCTCTTGTGGATGGAGATGGCCCAGGCCAATTTGAGTGGCAGCTGCTGTCGACTCAGATAGATCCCACTGCCCGACTTAAACACCCAGCGCTCAGTCTTCAGCACCTCTGTAACGCCGCACAGAAAACGCACACATGGGAGACCTGACGAAACAGGAAACATGTCGTTAGTGAAAAGACTTATTGTGGGATTTTCACGCATTTTAAAAAGGTGTTTGTGCCTAACCTGCTGATTCAGCATGAAAGACCTTGGGTACTTAAATATCCTCCAGTCATGTTTTTCAGGTGACTGGAGGCAGCTACAAGTGACTGAGTGCCAAGGCAGCTCTTAATTGTAGGCGTTTAGCATTTAGATATGTTAGGTATATATTGGGTCTGAATTGCTGCTGGTGTTTAGGCATGACTTTGAAGTGGATGCAGTTATGGTTGACGCACCAACTCCTCCATCTTGAAGCAGTTACCCATATACATCTTTGAAGTAAACATAAGACATGGGTAGTTGGTGTGAGCAAAAAAATAGCTAAAAGTTTATATTTAGGAGTGTTAATCGAGTAACTCCAAATACATAAACCTCATTAACAGGAAGAAGAAAAAAAATATAGTATGTTAACATGTATGTAATACACATTCCTTTTCTTGCTGAGAGTAAAATGAATAGATCAATACTAGTCTCATGTCTGTACCCTAAATATGAAGCTTGAGCCAGGAGACAGTAGGCTTAGCATAAACTAGTACCAATACTAGTCACTGCAACCTGCCAAAAAAGAGAAAACAATATTCCAACACAAACACCCTGCAAAACTGCAACATGTTTTTTTCAGTTCTGTGTGTGTGTATGGATATGAATGAGACAAAACTTATATTAAACTTAGAAACAAACAGCATATAGCTATATAAATAGCTTTTTCCATCCGTTTCCAGTCTTTATGTTTACCATATGGAGCGGTCTCAATTTTCTTATCCAACTCTGAGCAGGACTGCAAATTAACACATTTCCTCAAAATGTCAAACTATTACTTATCACTATGAAAATCTCTCTTGTAAATACATCCAATCAATACTGCCTTTTCTGAGCAAATATTAAGTCAATGTCTCAAGATGACTATATAAATAAACAAATAAATACATACATACCTACATACATACATACTGACCATGTTTGCCAGGCTCAAAACCCACCACAACCCCTCGCGCTCCATTCACTAGACCTCGGGCGACATCCAGGTTCTTTGTCAGCATGACCTTAAAAACAACAAGTCACCAAAAATTGAAAGTAAAAATTGCGCACAGTAGTCAACACAAGTGGTTTGTTGCATGCCAAATTGCAGTAGGTGTGGAAAATTGTGGAGAATAAACTACAATGCACACGCACACCTGAGCTCCCACTTTGAGTTGGATGAGTCGGCTGACGGGGCTGTGAGCTTCTATTGTCTTCACCAGGGCTGGGTCACTGTCCAGTGCCTCAAACACACGCACCGACCCTGGAGGACAGTGAGCGATTCAATAAACAGGCTATCATGACTACTTCTACATAAAACCTATACACACACACACACACACACACACACAACCCCAATTCCAATGAAGTTGGGACGTTGTGTAAAACGTAAATAAAACCAGAATACATGCATTTGCATCCTTTTCAACCTATATTCAATTTAATACACTACAAAGACAAGATATTTAATGTTCAAACTGATAAACTTTATTGTTTTTTGCAAATATTCACTCACTTTGAATTTGATGACTGAAACACATTACAAAAAGGTGGGACAGGGGCAACAAAAGACTGGGAAAGTTGAGGAATGCTAAAAAAAAAAAACAAATAAAAAAAACCCTGCTTTCATTCTACAGGTGAACAGGTTAATTGGAAACGAGTGAGTGTCATGATTGGGTATAAAAAAGGAGCATCCCCAAAAGGCTCAGTCATTCACAAGAAAGGATGGGGCGAGGTTCACCACTTTGTGAAGAACTGCGTGAGCAAATAGCCCAACAGTTTAAGAACAATGTTTCTCAACGTACAATTTAGGGATGTCATCATCTACGCTCCATAATATCATCAAAAGATTGAGCCCAAGCTCATCTGAGATGGTCTGATGCAAAGTGGAAAAGTGTGCTGTGGTCTGACGAGTCCACATTTCAAACTGTTTTTGGAAATTATGGACGTCGTGTCCTCCGGGCCAAAGAGTAAAAGGACCATCTGGATTATTATCAGCGCAAAGTTCAAAAGCCAGCATCTGTGATTGTATGGGGGTTTGCTAGTGCCCATGGCATGGGTAACTTGCACATCTGTGAAGGCACCATTAATGCTGAAAGGTACATTCAGGTTTTGGAGCAACATATGCTGCCATCCAAGCAACGTCTTTTTCAGGGACGTCCCTGTTTATTTCAGCAAGACGTGGCTTCGTAGTAAAAGAGTGCGGGTACTAGACTGGCCTGCCTGCAGTCCAGACCTGTCTCCCATTGAAAATGTGTGGCGCATTATGAAGCGCAAAATACGACAACGGAGACCCCGGACTGTTGAGCAAATGAAGTTGTACATCAAGCAAAAATGGGAAAGAATTCCACCTACAAAGCTTCCACAATTAGTGTCCTCAGTTCCCAAACGCTTATTGAGTGTTGTTAAAAGGAAAGGTGATGTAACACAGTGGTAAACATGCCCCTGTCCCAGCTTTTTTGGAATGTGTTGCAGGCATCAAATTCAAAGTGAGTGAATATTTTCAAAAAACAGTAACGTTTATCAGTTTGAACATTAAATATCTTGTCTTTGTGGTGTATTCAACTGAATCTAGGTTGAAAAGTATTTGCAAATCATTGTATTCTGGTTTTATTTATGTTTTACACAACGTCCCAACTTCAGTGGAATTTAAGTTGTACACAAAACCCCCTCTGCCCCAAAAAATAACTGGTGGGGTTGCCCCCCACCAGTTTCCTGATGCAGGAGCTGACAAAATAAAAGTATACCAGAACAGGAAACTAAACTGGTCAGAAAACAAGTGGCACCTGGCTGAGACTAAAAATATCTCGAGAGGAAACGGGTTTCAACAAGGTTGCCATACATGACTCAAAGCCATGGATAACAGTTTTGCCAAGTTTCACCTGGATTGAAACCAAACAAAGTAACACCTGTTTCAAACTAGAAAAATAAATCAAAATGAAGAATTCAGACCTGGCAGCTGCTGGAGTTTGTTCTCGTTTGTGAGCTCCACGTCATCCTTGTGTGTGCACAACCTGGTTGCTAGAATGCCGTCCCTCTCGATCCGATGGTAGGCGCTTTCCATCAACTTAGCAGTGACTTCCTCCGTCACCCTGAATGGTGTTAAGACAGAACTTGATTGAAATTTTCCTTTTGTTGCACAAATGTTCTGTAGAATAAAACAAAATGACCTTCTGTCCTTAAGAGGCCTGCAACGGCACCAAGTGCATTTATGTAACATACATACAGAGATAACATATCCATACTTTTGGCATGAACTATTAAAAACATTACAATTGCATTAGCTGTACAAAAACACATTGTGGCTATGAAATTCCTTGAAATGAAATTCCTTGAAAAATTATTTTACCTGCCCACCCTCACTGCCTGCAGGAGGGAGATGAAGGACTGGTCGGTTTGCCTCCGCACTTCTGTTAGCTCCATGTTGAGCTGGATGACCTTGCGCCAACTCCTCGCCTGAAGGTTCATAGAGGGGAAAAGTCTTGTTCACCAACATCCATTAATGCTCTTCGGCAAGTGAGCGGATCGCCCGTATGCTGACTCATGGGAACAGCATAGACCATCATGAGTAAGTGGAAATGCCTCAGTACAATACTGACACACACGACCGCTTACATAAAAGTGGAGTACACAAATTATTGGGCTTCCTGTTACCAACTACACCTAAAAATATACCATAGAGTTGAATTAACTGTTCTATTATAATCTTTTTAAAAAGAATGATTTATTGCAAGGTAGATGTATTAGACTTGTTAAAATGTTCTGCTATTTCAGTGTGAATTACCTTTTCGCCATACAGCCTATCAACTTACTGACACGGCGTAATTAAATTAATTAAAGACAAACAAATAGAGAAGTCCAGGATCCACGATGGTCTGACCTGGAAGCAAAAGCTGGTATTTTCCTTTCCCTTAGAAACAGGAGGTAGCTGGAGGAAGTCACCACATATGATCAGCTGGATGCCTCCGAACGGCTCAGTAGACCTCCTCACCGACCTGCAAGAGCACGGTGACAAGATGCGTTACTGAAGATTAATGTAGTGATTATATGGCTACAACTAAGGATTGTTTTCATTATCGATATAGTAGATAATATATAAATATAATAGAGAAAATAAATGCAAATGAGTCTATGAAAAATTGGAAATTTGGAAATATGTCAAAAATCAACACGTCTGAAAAATATTTTTATAAATTTAAACTGTTTTATAAAAAGATGTTTTAATTGTTCAGATGTAACTAGTACAGCTATAGTAAAATGGATTTTTAGATTTTATACAGACTCATTAAATATGAATGTATGTCACACAATATAGTTCACAAGTGCTGCTGAGCTTCCCAGTAAAACCCAGGGGATTATCTATTAACTGGAACCATAAACTGTAATTCAAAAGCAAGTACTTTTGTTAAAGCGGGTGTTAAAATTCCTCATGCTGGAAGTCCAACCGTTTGCTAACAGTCTGAAAAATCTGTGAAGTGATATTAGTCCATTCTCCATTTCAGTGCTGTTCATACTGTTATATTGTCATATTGTAGATACTTTATACCAAAACCACCTACCTCAAGTCATTACTCCTGCACAAAATACTTTTTTATTCCAGCATCCTTTGCACTATGCTTCATTGCACTGTGTACATGTAAATGTACATGTATTTCACATCCACCTCCGACATGTACATACTCCTGCATCCTTTGCACTCTGCTCACTGCACTATTTGTCAATATGTCTATATTGTTTTTGTTCATTGTGTGTCTATTTGTGTTGTCTACACTGAAGTCTGTGTCTGATTTGATTTTATTATTGTGATTTTGTATTTTTGAGTAAGCACATCGTGAGCAATGTACAATCCAGAGTCAAATTCCTCGTATGTGTACACATACCTGGCAATAAAAGCCGATTCAGATATTACAGAGGAGATTTAATCTCGAAGGAGACACCCAGGGTGTGTTTGGAAACTCTGAAACGTAACACTTTGTAACACTGCAAACATTACGAGTAATAAGTTTTCAATGTTTCTTAATTAAGTTCAACTTTTAAATCTTACTTTAACCTTCCAAAACACAGTTTCAAATTTATTCATTATGAATGGTTAAGTATTTACCCAAACACCAGCTGCCTGAAAGAGCTTTAATGAATTAAGTCATATCAATCACTAGTGACAAGATGTTTATTTGTATAATTTGTGTAAAGATCAACAACTGTTCAATAAGTCAAATTTATCATTAAGCTCTGTGGTTGGGTTAGGGATGATACTCATTCAAATCATCATTATGCATTGATAAAGACGTGTTTTTTTGTTTAGGCCATCTGATTAATGTCTACAGATTCTACACTAATGTAAATGTTATTGTAATTTAATTGAACTGCTGCGGCCACCTAGCAAACAAATATGCACCTGCATTTAACAGTGGCCAAACACGTGAAAGCTCTCCAACAGAAAACAGTCTGTAACTGCTTTACTAAAGACTTTGTAAACTTATGATATACTGTAGTATCATAACGTGATTTTTGTTATTGTTGTTGTTGTTGTTGTTGTTATTGTAGATTGATATTGGCCATGATGTTCAGCTTTGAATCTCATCTCTCACCTAGCCACCGACTCGAGCTTGTCAAAAAACTGTGCCTCAACCATGGAGACCTCATCGATGATGAGGTGTCGACAGGTCGTCCAGTGCTGCAGCACCCCAGGCCTCTGAGCCAGCTCGACGCACTGCTCCAGGGGGGCAGAGCCGGAGCCAATGCCTGGAATGAACAATGGTACGGAGGATAGAAAGACAGATGGCCAGACGAGACACAAATGAATAACACCCAAGCAAATACTCAATTCGCACCCTCTACTGTATATTGAGATTTAATTAAAAACGTCTGTTCTTGTGAAGAGACATCAGACACCTCATCCTCCCATTATATTAAAGATTCATAATCTGAAATAGGGCATCACACAGACACTGTAACGGAGTCAAAGGCTGCAGCTCTACTTTAAAAAGGTTAGCACAAAAGAAAAAGACCTTTTTTCTTTGGAGTGAGTAGGGCTGAAAAGTTTAGCAGATTGCCAGAACATTTTTAACTGTTTAAAATGTTGTCATTCTCTAAGGAAAAATATTCACTGGTGCCAGTTTCCCAAGTGTGAGGATTTGGTGCTTTTCTCCGTTCTGTATTATTGTCAAGTGAATCTCTGCGCTTCGGACTGTATGCCAGATAAAATGAGCAATTTGAAGAGGTCATCTTGGGCTCTGGGGAATTGTGACAGGCATTTATTTATTATTTATTTGAATACTAGATGATTAATCAAGAAAATAATCAGCACATTAATGAATAATGAAAATAACTGATGCTGTCCTGCTGATAAGGATTCTGCCTCATGCTTTTCTGTATTAGGACAGATGTCAGTCAATAGCACTGCCTAATTTCAGGAAAGACCTTCGGTGAAACCAGCAAATTGACTAATTATTTGGATAACATACAATATGACTAGTTGATTTCCACATTTGTGTCAGTCTTACATAAAATCTATTTTGTCTCCTCAGACACAATGACTGACCGGCAAAGTTGTGTAATGTTGTTCCTCCAATGTGACATGCAGCCACTCCGGTGCTGGCTGTGGCAAAGGTGCTCTTTGGAGGAAGAGATCCGATAATTCTCTTCAGTAAGAAGGACTTCCCTGTACCTGATATACACACACACACACACACACACACACACACACACACACACACACACACACACACACACGTTTATTGCCAGAGGGAAAACAAAAGTCAAGAGAGATTTACATCAGATTCTCTTGAGCGAATGTTAGGAAAAAAAGACAACATGTTACTAAATGACAGTAAGGCAGTAAAATGTAACAGTTACTCAAAATGTATCATATGCAAGATAATCTTTAAGTTATTACAAAAATTTATTGTGGCACACTTACCTGCACTTCCAGTGAAGAAGACGTTCTTACCACTCAGCACAGCACTGAGGACAGCCGCTTGTTCTTTATTCAGCTTACGTGATGGCAGAGCCAGGATGGGCCTCTTACTTGGGTTGGCCTTCACCTAAAAATAATCAAAACAGACAGCCGGTGACATATCATTCAACAGATTAGATGCAAAGATTAGACAGCGTGGAATAGATTCAGGAGGGTAAAATGTTGGTGCATAAGTCTCCCACTGGTAAAGACAAGACACTGTGTTTTCAACTCACTGGGCTGAAGTTACTGTCACTCCTTGACCTTTTGACTTGCTGTCCTGTTCCTGCCACAGTCGTCTTATTGGTGCGGTCTGCCAGGCCTTTAGGTGCCACTTTATTTCGTAGCTCATTAACCTTCTGGATATCCTTTTGCTGCAGGGGGCTGATGGCCTCGAAGCTGCGGGGCAGACCGGCTTTGAGCTTCTCTCGGTCGCTCAGGGGCTTGCTGCTCTGCAGGGCCTGGTGTTTGATGCTCAGGGTTTTGAGGAAGAGGTTCAGCTGGTCGGGGGGGCAGTTGGAGATGAGCACCTGGATGTTTTCAGGGAGAAGTTTGACGGTGCACTTCCCATCTCTGGCGAACTTGGTAAAAAGTTTGAACTCTTTCAGACGGTAACTTTGCGGGACTTTCCCGTCGTGGACCCGGAGGATGAGCTCCTGGAACTCATTCCGGCCCAGAATAACGGAGGCTTTACGGATGACCTGCCTCCGGGTGGCCTGGCCGGAGATGTTCAGCTGCTCCACGGTCACACAGCACTGCAGCTGGCCACCGTCCTCCCCGGCGAACATTGCAACAACTTTCTACGAAACACAAGAGCCCGCATTTATTCATGAATAGCATTTTGCTTTGAACAAAACATTAGAGTGCGGCGGCGCATGAAACAGCAAACTGTGTTTAAAGAGCCTGAAAGGACAAAACGTAGCGTTACCGCAGCTGTGGTTCATTTAATCAACATAAACATCTTGATCTCGCGTGTTTCGCCCGCGTGATCGATATAAACTTAAAATGTAACGTAATAGTCACGGGAAAAGTTTTAACTCAGTTCTTACCTTTGTTTTTAAATGAAATATGTGCTAAACTCTCTCCCAGTATGCAGCTGCTCTCCAATCTGCGAACGCGAACACCGACCGATTTTCAAATTATCAGTGCTTGAAATGAACCAATAGCTGAGCGGTGATCCTGGCCAATCAGCAGGAGGAGATTTAACACAGCATCCAGTGGAAGATGAGAAGGGACGCCTCCCGTGGCTGCCTCGACCAATCGCTGGTATTATGACTGGCGACGTTATATTTGTGTGAAAAACACATGGCTACCCGGAAATATAAAAGTTTTTCACAATAACGGCGCTAAATTAAACACGAAATACAGACAGACAGATAATTCGGCGTCTTTTATTTTCTCTGTTTCCCGAAGTAATTTGAAACCCAGTTAGGCTGCTGTACAATAATAGTCAATTGTGATTTGTAGATCATCACTGCTGCCCATGTGAAAAGACTGAAATGATGTGTGATGGAGGGAGATACTATATACAAAGCACAAGGTAGACTACAAGAAGTTACAAGTTGTTTATTAGTCATTATACAGCACAAGGCTGCATAACAAAATGAAATTTGTAGTTCCTTCGTGCTACACACAACTTACAATTAAGTGTAGGCATATATTAAAATATGGTAACACATAAAATAAAATTAAACAATGTATACAGTTATTTATCTACATATATACATACACATATACACCCCGAACATCCCACAGTGCATTTTTTGAATTTGCATCTGGGGTGAATGTAAACAGCAACCAGATTTGGGAAACAGAGTACACCTTGACTGCGTTTGAGCACTAAGCCATCATCGATGCAAAAACACTGTCCACTTCCTCTCATCTTGCCGGAGAAAACAGTTAATTTTAGATCCAAATTGATTATTCCCAGAGATACACCACATCCTAAAATATATGTACATATTTTATTTGGAGACATTACTGTCATCTCCTCCCTGTAAAGACACCTCAAGTAACAACTGGCTCAACTCACCCCAGTATCATTATACACTGATAGTGCAGAAAAAATACACCTTATTAAAGATCATGTGTCGGTGCAATATAGGCTAGTGATTAAAATGAATCACTAATATCTGCAATGTTTTGCAAAAACAATCAAACTCTGACATCATCAATAATCTGTGTTTTTTGTGGTGCAGTTGCAGTAAATCCTCAAAAAATGCTGAACATAAGTAAAGTAACTGTCCAGCAGCTCTTTTTTTTTCTTTCCTTTAATTAATTTTCTCACTCCAGCCAAACTTTGGATTAGTACTGATACTAAATACTAGGCCTACTTATTAAATATACATGGTGTGGGACTACAACGTTATTTTTGATGGACTGCATTAATGTACAAACTAAATAGCCTACTGTTTTTAAATTGCACAAGGTCACAACTGGAATCTGTTTTATTTTAAGTCTCAAGTCTTTAGAGACTCGAATCCAAGGTCTACAGCTCTGACCTCCCCATTCAGTTGTGTTCATCAATATTAATGATGGAGGTCATAATGAAAAAATGAGGCACAAACAAACAATCAAATGTTAGCAAGCGGGTTCTTCTTCATTACATTTCTTCATGTCACAATCCTGTTATGACTCACCATCACGCTCTCATTATAACTTAATAACACAAACACGTATCACACACAGCAGCATCCCACTTATTATTTTCACATTGCTGTGCTTTCTGTAGACTGCGTAAAGCTTCACAGAATCTGATGAGAAGACATTGTCCACAGTCGAGCAGCTGTGATTAGACAAGGTTGAATGACCACAATGCATTTTAATGTGACTAACGCCCTGATCTTTCAGCTGAGGGGCAATAAGCTGTGAGAGGCAGGGTGAGGGCGTTTGATCAGTGTGAGTCTGGAGAAATTAAGGGTCTCACCTACACATTAACCATCAGACTGGATCTAGATCATGTCTCTGGAAACCAAAAGGTGACAAGGAAGAAAAAGTGATGAGGTAGGTTGATTCATAAAGAAAAACACGACCACAACCAACCCCCAAACTTTTAAACATTTTAAAATATCATCACTGCCCTGATAATTACAAGAATCTCTGTGGCTGACATGTAGACAAACATCTTGCGCTGAACATTTTGTTTTTACGCACAAATCATCAAGTCAGGCTGCCGCTGATATTCCACAGTTTGGGCTTTTTGAGTCATTTGGTCATTAGACTCCACATCCTGAGCCTGTCACACGAGTAGGTGCATGTGGGGAGAGAAAAGTAGAAAAATGCTGTCATGTTTACAGCTGCAGTTCTTCAAAATAATAATCTATCTATCGTCTGTAATGCTTTGCATATTTTGCTATAAACTTTCAAATGCACCATGAAAATAATATCAAACTTTAAATACAGCAATATGTTTCAAATAACAGAAAAATATCTTTTAAAAACGTATCTATTCTCTTTTTGTATTGTAAAAATTGTTCAATAGCCTGAAATGACTAGAGGGCATAAAAACTACACAACAGGGTGACACACAGCCGCTGTGTACATAAAATACATTTTAAAATTCCTTTTTGGTCAATGTGTTAGCAAACATTTGTGTACATACACTGTTAGGTTTCAGTATAGTGGACCCAGGAGCAGACACAGACTTGTTGGTAGTTGTAAAGTAAAATGGTATTTTTATGAACAACACAAAAGAGGCTGGGGAGGTGAAGGGGGAGCCTGGTTGAAGATGGCAGAGGGCAGGCAGGCAGACTAAAGGGTGTAGTATGGCACAGGTAGGGACTAAAGTGAGGAGAACAAAACAGCAATCAGTTTCTGGGCCAGGAAAGTACATTGCCACAAGTAGGCAAAAACAATCTAGTGATGAGTGCTATGAGACCAGCAGAGTTGATGAGGTGGTTTGGGTCAGGTGAGGAGGAAAGCCAGTTAGAGTAGTCTGCCACACCCACTTGCAGACACACACACACACACACACACACACACACACAAGCACGGCAGGAAAGGGGAACAAATGGGAAACAGGAAAGTTCTAAACTTATGGGCCCAATCCCAATCTCCACCATAAAGCCTAAGACCTGAACCCGCACAGACTTAGAAGACACCTACGGACAAGATGGATTCAGCCATGGTGAACCGTGATGTACACACCTTGACAGAGCAACATTATCATCCCACAGGAGTTTCTTCACCAAGTGATCATTAAATTTGTCTGTCTGTGACCCCCTTTGACATTAGGCTAACTGTAGCCTTGATTCAGTGTTAAAGCTGGGGTCCGCAATTCTAATCCGATATGTCTTTTTGTCAAATTCAGCAAATAGCTCCTCATGGTCTGCTAGCTGATGTCAGGTAATGTGAAATACTTTGCCCCTGGACCTTCAGCTTACTTTCTAGTTTCCGTCTTGTCCTCTTTGCATGTTAGCTTTGCAGCAGCAACTGTAGCGACAGTTTGCTAACCCACAATATAGCTAACGTTAGTTACATTACTTGTTGTGTCATTGTTCGCTCTATATCATGGTCACATACCCCACCTTTAACCAATGAAGGTTAAAATCAAGGGCAACTGGACTTGGTTGAAGATACTGGAAGACATTTCGTCCCTCATCCAAAGGACTTCTTCAGTTCTGACTGACTGGCAGGGAAACTCAGCCAATTAACCTCAGTGGGGTCGTTTGCCAGGGTCACCGATACTGCTGGTTCGTTAGTGTTCCTGGTTGCTGTGACGACAGTCGTTACAGTCATTAGGACTACCTATGGCCAAGACTGAACGACCATCGTTGGTATCTTCACCTGAGGCCAAGAGGTTACGTTTGTTGAGTTTCCTGGGAAGTGATGAAAGGACAGCATTGTAGACGTAGACCCCCTCCCCTGTTCAATGACGGCTTCTCAACCCTGGTGTAGATGGCTTCCTTGACACCTCTTTCAAACCATCCATCTTCTCTGTCTAAAATGTGCACCTGGTGGTCCTCAAACGAGTGTCCTCTGTCCTTCAGATGTAAGTAGACTGCAGAGTCTTGACCTGAGGAGTTGGCCCTTCTGTGTTGAGCCATGCGTTTGTGTAGTGGTTGTTTAGTCTCCCCAATATACAGGTCTGTGCATTCCTCACTGCATTGGACCGCATACACTAGATTGCTTTTCTTGTGTTTGGGTGTGCGGTCTTTAGGGTGTACCAGCATCTGTCTTAGTGTGTTCTTGGGTTTAAAAAACACAGGGATGTTATGTTTGTTGAAAATCCTCCTGAGTTTCTCTGATACTCCAGACACGTATGGAATCACAATGTTGTTGCGTTTGACCTTCTTTTCCTCCTCCCCTGTAGTTTTGTTCTTCTTGGATCTTGTGGCTGTTTTCACAAAGGTCCATTTAGGGTATCCACAGGCTGTAAGTTCAGGTGGTTCTGTTCCTTCTCTCTGGTTTAGGCGCTTGTTGGTATGTTTTCCGCTCTGTGGTGCACTGTTCTCATGACCCCTAGCTTGTGCTCCAGTGGGTGGTGGGAATCGAAGAGTAGGTATTGGTCTGTGTGTTGATTTTAACCTTCGTTGGATAACTATGACTTGGATGACTGAGAATCTTCATAGACACCCCACCTTTAATGGAACAAACATCAAGTAATGCAGCTTCAATTCATCTAATCTGTCTTCCAGTGCTGTAGATTAAAATAATCCTTATAAATCTTACATGAGGTACTCAATATTTTTTGTCTTACCCTTTTTTTTTGCATATAATTCACAACAAAATAAAAATGAATAGACTTGGCTGGAGCAGCTTTATAGATGCAGTCCGTGTACTTCCATTTTAATATAGAAATAGTAATGAAATAGTTGGCTCCAGCTTTAATAGGTTTTTGTCCTTTTGAGTACTGGAGAGGGTCTAAAGATGAGTCTATTCCCAGATGAGATTATGTCCACTGAAATGTAGCTCTGATGACCTTTCTGCAGGCAAAATGTTAATCAGTGGTCTCATAAGGCAGACCTTCAACCTTGGCTGTAAAATTTCCAGTGGATTTAAAATGGGCTCAGCAGAAGGAGAGGGCATTTTTAAAGCATTAAAACGTTTCCATCTTGGAGATTACTCATGAGGATGGAGCATTCGTGTTATGAAAAGCAACACATTCTGCTTCAGACAAACCGAATTGTAATCCGAGGTGGTTTGT